GTAAGCACAAGAAGTCCCCCCGAAGAGGTGGGAGATAGAGTTTTCCCACTGCCTGTCCCCAGCAGAAACCTGTCTTGGAAGCACAGGGGCAAGCAATTAGATGTTGCCAACCCAGCAGGCTGGGGTGGAGGCCTTTGTTACACACTACTGCCCTCTCCAGTGACTCTTCTCCTCCACACAGTCTCTAAAGCCAAGGGTCCCGGCCCACTTACATACCATTGGTACCCACACACACGGACCCATGTGCTTGTGCACATGAAGAAGAGTCTAGAAAGGCAGATCGGCCAGCGTGCTGATAAGTCCCTCTAAGAGTGCCCATATCCCAACCATTTATTTCCTTTGAGTTTCCAGAAAGAAGAATACTGTCTCTCATTGTTTCTCCTCAAGAGACTCCAGCAGCGGTCTTCAGCAGCTGTAAGGCACCTGCTGTCTAGACCAGATGCCAGAGAAGAATGGATCCCCAGCATCAGAAAAAAGGTGGGTTCCTGGCAGGCCACATTCTGAACCCTTTGCCTACACTGGCCTCATACCCACCACCCCCAGATCGCCCACAGTGCCCCTCACCCAGAGCGGCCCCCACAAACTGACTGCCTCAGTGGTCCACACTGCCCTCGGCCCAGCTTACCACACCAACAGCCCCCAAAGTGTCCACACTGCCCATGTGTCTGGGTCAGCCACACTGCCAAAGGAGATGGGGGCAGGGGAAAGGAAGAGGAAAAGAAAGGGAAGCTCCTGAAGGCAATTCCACCAAATATACTGTCTGCATCCCTACCTCCGTTCTTGGAAGTCTGCTGGGGTCTAGGGAGATCCGTGTGAACCAATGAGAGAGAGAGAATGTGTGTGTGCATGTGTATACACGTGTGTCTGTACCCCCCCCACCCCGCCCCCGTCACTGGCTTGCCCGTGCTCCTGCCTGCACTTTCTGCTTCAGGAGCTGTTTGGCAGGCTCCGGGAGGCTGTTGGATGGAATCCAGCTCTCCCTGGGAGGAAAGCATAAACTTCATAAACTACATTTACTTTAATGCAGGTTCCTGGGGCAGCTTTCCTCAGGCTTTTCTTCCCTCGTCTTGTCTGCTCTGTCTCGATCACATTTTACCCCAGCCCCTGTGTGCACCCAGACTACACACACACACACACACGTGCATGTGCACACACACACACTTTATAGCTAGTACTCCTGAAAAGGAAGCCTCAGCCTGGCTCTGGAAAGACCCCTGAGATGCCCACGTACTTGTCTCCAGTGGAGATGAACACAAAGGATGCTTTGAGACAGGGGGGCAGGCCTCAGGGAGGGAGGGATGCTGACATTTCGTGGGGATGGCCAAATTAGGAGCTACCTGGAGGCTGGGCCACGGGCCTCCAAGAAGGGAGAAAGAAAAAGCAAGGCCTCCACGCAGGTTGAGGTTTGTGAGGCCTCCCTTGTCTGGTGCTGTCAAGGTCAGCAGGTTCAGGTTCACCGAAGGGTCAGGATGGTTTGAATTACTGGCTCTGCTGCCACTCAGCTCTGAGGCTCGTGATCGTCTCCCAGCCCTCCCCCAACCCTCCTTGCTCTTCCACCCCCACAGGGCAGAATGGGGAAGGTCCTGGAGAGCTTTCTAGCCTCTACGTCCCCGAGGAAGGCAGACAGGGAACGGGTCCTTCCCTGGGCTCCAGGACTCCTCACGCAGCCCACAATGGTCAGGCAGCAATCCTGGGTCTCCCAGCCTACCTTCTCTCCAAACCCCTCTTCCAAGGGGTCCCCATGCCCCTGCCCTTCTCAGCCACCCTCTGGCCAGCAGAGGAGGAGGTGCCCAGGCAGGCCAGCCCACTGTCGGCAGGGCCTGTGGGCAGCCTCAGGGCCCGGCCCCTCCCTCCTGTCCACAGCCTGAGCCTGGGGCCATCGCTGAGGCGGGGATTTCTCATTTCTTGCTTTGCGCCCTTGCCAGGTGGGGGAGGGAGAACGATGCCTACCTGCAGGGCAGTGGCCAGGTCGAAGACTAGGGTCTGAAGACAGGGTCTGACAAGATGGGTGTGCCCACACGTGCCGAGAAATGCACAGACGCTTTTTGGGAAAGCTGTAATCCTGTGCTACACCCACCCCACCTTCCAGTGGGGAGGGACACAGACAGCCCCCTCCACTGCTAATCTGTACTTTCTCTCCTGGGGGTGGGGGTGATTTATTTTGATGTTTTGGTACTTCATAGGGGGAAAAAAAACCTCTTTTGTGCTAAATCACAACATACTTCCTCAAACAAAATATATCTCTTTATCCACAACAGCATGAACTGGTTAGGGACCCGAGGTGGTTAATGATTTGACTGAAGTCTCTGGTATAAACTCAGGGACTTAACATACAAATTCATGCACGCATGTCAGCTCTGCGCTGCCATGGCTAAGCCCCGGTCCTTCCTGTCAGAAAAAGGTAAGCCCACGTGGCTCAGGACCCAAGGTAGAGGTCTTACTGAAACATCGATATAGCCTACACCTACCTCCGTATGATGACATGGTCAGTGTTCAACAGGCTCATGGCCAACGTGGCCCAGAGTTTGGCTAAAATATGCGATCCAGCTAAGATAGACCTCCTGCCCTGTATGAACGGTCTGATTTCCCAGGTGACTGGGAAGATAGAATCATAGCAACAAATACGTGTTCATAAGTGGATTTTTTTTTTGGTGTCTTAGCGAATGCTGACCTTCAAACCTTAGCTCTTTCTTAGATTAGGGTAGACACTAGCCAGGGCTTGAATATTTGTTGGAAAATGAGCATAGGTTGAGCTTGTTAATGCAGTTTAACTCAGGTACTTGTTCAGGTGGATGACTGCCGTCCTGCAGATTTGGTTTCTGGACTTTCAGAGGACTGGGCTCATGAGAGACAGTCTGTGACCTGTGCTGGGTAGGATGGTGCGTGTAAAATCATGTGATTCCAGCAAGGAGCCACAGCGCACCTGTCCTCACAGAGACTCAGACCCCGCCAGTATAGTGTCTCCTTACAGGGCCTGGCTGCGGCCTGGGGGGCCATGGGAGCAAAGAGAGGCTCCATGGTTCTTTGCCCACCATGTAAGCTCACTTCAGAGCTCTGAAGGCATGCCACTCAGGTCCACACTCCTGGGCGGGGATTCTTTAAAAGGGAATCAGATGACTCTGTGCGTGTGTGTGTGTATGTGTGTGTGTGTGAAGGTTAAGTGGTGAACAGGCATAACTGTGCCCAGGTGCTGGGCTTAGGTTAAGGAATCTGTGCAACCCCATGTGTTTACCCAATACAGGGCAACCTCACTGTGTCTTCTGGGCCCTCCCCAGCCCCCTCCCAGCTCCTTCATGCTGAACCTGGCCCACTAAAATGGTATGTGCTCAGTGAAACTTCCCTAAGCTCTTCCCATGCAGGGCATGCTCAGATCCTTCTATGCTTCTGCCGGCCCCCTGCCTCTGGACCAAAAGGCCACAGAGGACAGAGAGAGTGAGGCTGAGGCTCCAGCTTCTGCCTCTAAATATCCGACCGTGCATGCCTACCAGGAAGTGCCCACCTGCAGACTTCCCCTGTCAGCCTCCAGGACCGAAGGCTGCACTCAGAGTCCCAAGGTCTGGCAGCCTCTCCTAGTCCCCGGGGTCCACCTTGCCTGCCTTTTCTGACACCAACACTCTTCCCACTGCCCTCCACAAAGCGAGTGAGGGAAAAGAGACCGGTGACCAGGGCATGCCTGGTTTACATTAATGAGATACACCAAGTGTAATCCAGCCATGGAGGCAGCCTACAAAAAGAGGCGATCGCGGGTGGCCAGGAGCAGAGCTGCTCAGGTAATTGGTTTATCTATCTGGAAGCAGGGGGAGCAATCTCAGCACAGACAGACTAGCAGTAAAGTCTCTTCCTTAAGGCTATTTCCTTTGTCTTTTCAATTGCTTGCACATCCATGTGAGAGAGGGAGAGAGTGTTAAAGAGAGAGGGAGAGGGAGAAATGTTAATTTGTGAATTAATGGCTTTTCTCAGCGGAATTGTAAATTCAAATGTCACCTCACACGGTGACACCACGGCTGGTCTGCTGAAGAAGCAATGATAAGATCCCCCACCTCCCTTGGTGCCCCTCCCTCCCTAAAGATAGCTGTGGAGTGGAACATGCTACTTTTAATTTGCAATAACAACAACAGAGGTATGCAGTAATGACTGCCTTCTTCCGCCCTCCTCCTGGCTTCCTTCCCCCCAGTCCAGTTGGCTCCCCACTTCCTCCCTCCTCACCCTTTTGCTCTTCTGAAACAACACCTCACCCCACCCTGGCTGCCCCCCACCGCACCCCAGCCAGGGCCTGATCACATGGGGGGGGGTGTCTTTGGAATTGACGATGCTGCAACCCTCTCTTCTCCTTCAATAATCAGGGAATTAATGACCCTGAAGTTAAAGTGAGGCTGATACCGAGGCCCTGCCCAGTGTTGGGAAAAAGCCTTCATTGTTTTCAAGCAGGAGGCGGGCAGCAGTGAGGGAGATTCATGGATGGAGATTGAATATGCAATTTTCTTTCACCTTGCCAAGAGCTGCCCCTGGGCTGTGCCTGGCCTAAATTTTTCCTTTTACCATCTCTGCCTTATCCGGCCCTCCCACCTCCCTTCCATTCTTTCCAGAAAATTACCTTCAAAATTGATTTCCACTTTTACAAACAAATATAATGGGAACACAGGAAAAAACTTGGGCCGTGATGAATTAGGGCTGTCAGGTGCTTCCAGGTCTCCTTTGCTTTTGTTTTACTACCTGATCTGCTCTTTGTTTTTCCAAGGGCTGGAAAGAGTGCCCCCCATCCACTGAGTGCCTGACCCTCCGGGCCACTGGGGTCTCAGCCCCCAAACCCGGCAGTGGCCTGTGGAGAAAGTGATACGGGCCCTGAGACTCTGTCAGCCTCCTGGTTTCCCAGCAGGAGCTCGAGCCGCCACCTCCTTTTCTGCTCACTGGCCCTCAGGAACCCACTGTCTGAAAAGTCCCTGACCACCCCCCGGCTAGCGCCCCTGGCCCCCACACCATGTTCCCTCTGGCCCCCATACCTCTTAAAGTCCAGACCAGATGCAAACCTCCACCTCCTCTAATGTAGGCAGGATCAGTGTATACCTCGACTAGAGCAAATGAGAGACAGACAGACACTGAGAGATCCCGAAAGACAGGCAGGTAGACCCCAAGATTGGGAGACCAGGCTCCTCTTCCAAGGGGACAAGGGTGCTGAGTGGCAACTCCCACAGAGCCTGAGGGTATGAGGGCTCCCATACCCTCCCACTGAGGGCAGCCTCAGTGTCCCTTGCCTGGAGCCCCAGGCCGCCGCTGGAAGCACGTTCAGCACAGCCCATCCATTTGCCAACAGAATGCAGGGTGATGCCTGCAGGGCCCTTTGGGCAACAGTCTGTATGTACACCTGCGGCCCAAGACCAGGGACCCTAGCGCACTCAGGCCTGGCGTGAGTTCTCCCTGCTCACTGGTGCTGGTGGACCTGCTCCTGGCACACCTGATCGTCTCTGCAGATGTACACACAGTCCAGAAGACTGCATGCCTGCCCGATGCGTGGTGTTCCACACCCCCTTTCTCAGACCCAAAGGTCTCAGGATGCTGAGACACACACACACACATACACTCACATTTTCATAAACTATGTAAAAAAGTTACATACGTGTCCATAAGCAAACCTACACTTCCCAAGGGAAATAGACAAACTTGCACACGGTAGTGGGAATGCACAGCAGTGGGTAGAGGGAGGGGCACCTGCGTGTTAGGAAAGAAGGGGGCCCTATATTAATTTACACATGGCTGAAATGCCTGGTGGATGCTAAGAGTGGACATGTGGCCCAGTGAGATACTGCAGAGCCAGTGAGTAAGCAGAGATGGACACAGGTCCTCCTGATCACACACGGGGGGCTGACACCTTTCCCCCGCTGCCCTAGTTGCCCTACTTACCAGGGGCCGCACCAAGTTTAAGGAGGCCCAACTAAGTTTCTTTCTGACACAACTTCATTTTCTCTCAAAACACAAACTGCCAACCAGGCCTTCCTCCCCAGATACACAGTGTGACCCATCCCCCAAGATGGGTTGGCTCAACACTCTATGTCCGTGATCCCGTGTAGTCTTCTCCACAGTCCTCGTGGAGTGAGTGCTGCGACCACCTCCACTTTACAGAAAAGACTGAGCTGATGGAGATTAAGTGCCTCGACCAAGGCCCCAGGGCTCAGACCCAGCTCTGCCTGGCTCCAGAGCTCACACCACTTCCCACTGGGCACTGCTGATGCCTGCTGCGCTCCAGGGACTGCCTGCTGGCCCCCAACCCGAATTCTCCTTCCTGGCAGGGGTCTGCAGCCCCCTCTTGCCTGCAGCCAGGGCTCCTAGACAGAGGAGGTGCCTCTCACTTCCACAGCTTCATCCTCACATCTGTACCAAGTCTAACGTAAGCCACATACTTGGGGACCTCTTAGGAGGAAAACTAAATAAGGGGATAAACTGCTTCTTCCAGTTGCAGTTCCACCCAAAGCAGAAGGGAGCTACGAAAGGCAGCGGACGGACTGGGCCGTTGGCAGCCCTGCAGCCTGCCCTGCCTGCAGACGCACAACCTCACTGGTCTGGCGCCACCCAGCCGCACAACTCGTTGTGCGCCTAATGAACGGAATGCAACACGACAGCCCCCGGCCACCCCGCACACCAAAGGAAGACCAACACACCCCCCCTCCCGCAGATTAACGGACTCAGACCATAGGACTGCATTTGGATGTTCGGACAAGTTATGTCATTGCTGTGTGTTTCAAGGCCACCCACAGACAGCAACCTTTGGGACCATGGCTGAAAGCAACTGGGCGAAAGCAAAGGACTTTGTTTTTTCAGCCTAAAAGAAATACAAGAGTCTCTATTCTCTAGTCACATGAGCCAGGGTAATCAACATCCAGGGGAGCAGTGTCCTTCAAAGGACCCTAACATACCCTCTCATAGTTGTAGCTGAAAGGGGGTCAAGCTTTTAGCAGGGTACTGAATGGGGCTTTACCTTCTCAGACTGTCTTCTGGGTGCTTTGTGACCTAACTTCCTCATCTCTCACTGGCCTGTCTACCTGTCTCATTCTGGGAGCTCCTGGACTCTTGGGGGTTGAGGGCCAAAGCTTCTTGACTAGCATGTTTCTCAAAGGAAAGTCTAGGGATTCTTCCATACTTCCAAAGGCCGGGGCACGGGAAGGCATCTCAGGCAGACTCACAGTTCCTGTCAGTTTCTTTTTCCCCAGAGTCACAGCTGATCGACCCTTTACTAATATCCCCACAGATATGATTGCTGCAGATACTAATAACACTGTCCATATTCCAAGTGCCAGTGCCAATAACGCTCTGGGTATTATCACTGTGAACACCAATAACTACTGCTGAGATTGTCTCCAATAACGCCAGCACACGCTGCAGTGATTGTCCTCGCTAATGCCCACCACCATGACATTGTTAGAGCTGAAGAATAGGCTGCACTGTACCCAGAGGCAGGGGCGGGAGTGGCTTCCTTGAGGACAGAAAGGCTCACAGCTTGGCCTCAGGGTATGGCACTTCTAGGGAGATGCCACAGTAGGAGGGGTCCAAGGAGGCCCCCCTGTAGTGCATCAGGGTTCTTCTGGAGGAAGATGTGGCTGCCCACTCCGTCAGCCCACTCCCTTGACATGTATACCATATACCTGTTCCCATCCCAACAGCCCTCAGCGCCCTAAGCCAGTTTCTCCTTTGCCTGGGGTGCTGGTCCAGTAGCTGAAGGACACACCTGGGTGTCAGTGCAGCCCCTGCCCGAGGCCACCGCCTGCTGCCGGCCTGCCAGCTGCTGTGCTACCTTGGCCTGACTGCAGAGTTGGGCTACATCATCTTGACACATAATTATCTCCCCTATTCTTAATCATCTGAGCTGCTCCCTAATGCAAACTGGGCCTGGCTGCTTGGAGGCACCCAGAGTGGGGGAGGGGGAGGACAGGCTGTGAAAGGTCTGCCTTTGCTCTTGCCTTCCTTTTTCTCTCTTCCCACCTGGGTCTGGTGGATCGAGGGTGTGTGGTGTGGAGACAAGATGTCCGAGAGAACTGGCCTCCCTCACAGGCTCTGGCCTCCACCCGGGACAGGATGGCTCCATCTGGTCTGGTCAATAGTCAAGGCAAGACACCCTCCCACCTCCCGAAAAGAAGTAGGGCCTCTGATCCTTCCTGCCACCTAGCTAGGCACAGCACGCATTTAAGCAATGAGAGGAAACCAGGAGGCCCCCACTGCCCCTCGCCTAGAGGGGTTCAACTGCTGCCGCCACAGTCAACCTGCTGGAGAACAATGCCCCCAACTCTCACCCAGTCTTTTTCCTTTCCTGCTCAGACACTTTCAGGGGCTCTGCACGCCTGCAGAAAAAAGTCCAGCCTCCCTACACGGTCCAGTCTTGACCTGCTCTGGGACCCTAACCTGTCTGCTTGGCCTGGCTTCCCATGACTTCCCGTCCTGCCCTTTCATCCCAGCTGGAGCGCCCCTACACTTTCTCACCACAGAAACTTCCGCCTCTCATCCATCCCTCGGCCCCTCCTCACAGAGCAGCCCTTCCTGGGCTTTACCCGCTCCTCACTCTGAGCTCCCACGGCCCGCGGCCCAGACCTCCACCGCAACCCAGGTATCTGGTGGGCCTTCCTGCTCTCTGGGCTCACATGTTTTACATGCCCTGCTAGACTGGAAGCTCCTTAAGGACAAGAATCATATCTTGTTCTGCTTTGGGACCTTCTAGCACCAAGCCTTTCTTGTGACAGACGCACAGGAAGGGCTCACTGAATTGAATGGACTTGAAACAATGAATGTGATCTATTGCTCCGAGAGGAGAGCGCTCTGTTCTGGCCAATGAGGCCCAATGTGGGGGCGGGGGGGCAGGCACACCCTCATGCCAGTGCCTCCCCTTCATGGCCCATAGGAACCCAGGAAGCAAAAAGCATGTTTGTGTCCAACCGCAGAACAACGGGAGAGAGAGGTGAGGGGGTCCTGTGGCCTATCCTGCCCCCTGGACACCTCTCACTCTAAAAAATACAGGGGCAGTGGGTAAGGAGAAACCTCCTAGGGTTTGGCACAGAATTGTCCAAACCACTCAGGGTGCCGGGAAGTGTGGCTAAGGCCTGAGCGTAGGAAACCCCCAGGGAGAATTGAGACTAAGGGCCATTCACACGGCCTCCCCCTGCCCATCAGGGGCTGTGGCCAAAACAACCACAATGAAATTTAGTGAGTGGCAAAGGCCGTGGCAGCCAAATGGGTTTGAATATTTGGGAAGAAGGAGAAATAGAGCCAGACAAGCTGTTTCCCTGTGAAACGAGGCCATTAGGGCTTCTGGAAGGAGGCCAGCACCAGGTCATCACTGTCTTGCCAGGCCCAGGCCTCTCCGACACTCTGTCCCCTCCGCTGGAGGCCAGGACGCTCACACTCTCTTTTCCTGGGGCCCAGGGAATGTCAGCTCCGTCCTTTTTCTCTGTTCCTTACCCTCGAAAACTGCCCCAATCAATGGCTTATCTAGGCTTAGGATGACCACAGGATTTATTATCTAAATAGGACATTTTTTGAGAGGAAAAGGAGATGCTGACTGGCCAAGATGCAGCGACAAAGGCATAAATTGGGACCTTCTGGGCTAATGGGATATATGGTCACTGCCTTCTGTTCATCTTACGAGGATTCTGTCTGTTTCATGCCATATACCCTTAAAATCATACGCCCTTCCCAAACCAGGAAGTTACTGCCTCCCCAGCAGGGACTGTGAGGTTGCAGCCAGCGGCAGGTTTCGGGCAACGGTGTCTTCACTCGCCTTGGCCTGCCAGCCCTGAGCCCTGGACTCATGCATCAGAAGAGAACCAGATGGTCACCCAGGGACCTCTAACGTCACACACATGAAAAACACCTTCTCCCAAGCTCATCGCCACCTTTTACTTCCTCTTGCTTCCTTTCCCCATCCTCCTGTTTACCCCCCTCTCCACCTGCCTGCTCAACAGCTGGCCGCACTGCGCGGTTCCAGGGATGAGGGAAGGTCACAGAGGAGCCTGCATGGTGTCTCCTCCAGTGGGGGAGCACAGAGAGGAACCCATGTCCAGCTCCCAGTAGTTTTACTGGGGCCAGTGTCCACGTGTCACAGAGAAACGACCCCGGGGTCAGGAGCATGTGACATCCCTCCCCTATCTCCTGATGGGTTGGGAGCAGATGAGGACAAGGCAGGTTGGTCTTTCATCCTCAGGTCAGAGACCAGATGTCCCCCAATCTCCAAAACCTTCCCAAGCAAGGTACATGGCTCAGGCGTTTCCTCCTGGCATCCCACAGGGATATTGGGGGTGAGTCCCGGAGGAAGGTGAGGCAGTCGAGGCTGCTGAGCAGATGGTGAAGCTGATTGCCCCACCAGCAGCCTGCCTCCCTCTCTCCGGGAGCCAGCAGGGCGATGGGGGGACCTGGGCTTTGCGACTAAAACTGATCTCATAGCAGAGCAGCTGCGAGGCCGGGCGGAAACCGGAGCCCCGAGTGCAAAGACAAAGCGTGCACGGGGAAGCCAAGCCTCTTCCCTCCTCCCTACCTTCATCACGTTTCCTCTTCTCGCCATTGGAGCGAGGGATCCCCAGGATCCCGTTGATGGAGTAGGATCCCACTGGATCATTGGAGGCGCTGGAAACAGGAGGGGAGGCCGTGCTGGGAACTGGATGAGAGTAAGGAGGAAATGCCATCAGGATAGCAGTTTTGATCGCAGGCCAAAGCCCCAGGGCTGGGGGCAGAGAGAAGCAGAGGGAATAAGGAGGGATGGGGAGCCCATATTCCCTTTCTTCCTTATTAAGACCAGATGAGGGAACCTCTGGTCTTAAACCTCTGAGGTTTAAGGAGGAAGGCATTGCTACATACAGAGCAGGCTATTCACTTCTGTCCAGCCCTGGGCTGAGGGGTGACCAGTCAACCCCAAGCCTTCTCTGCAGATGTATGGATTTACTGGGGCCTGTGAACTCACTCCCCTGAAGATGAATGGAAACGCCGAAGCTGACTTAATCTACGGAGTGACTCAGCAGTCCCGTAGAGAGCACAGCTCCTAGGAGGCCTCCTTGCACAGCTCATCCAATCCCCGGGGCTGCAAAAATCCTTCCAAACAGGCCCAGCTCACTGTCTCTTAGTCTCCTGGGCTGAGTCTTTACCAGTCCTGATTTAGAGTCTGTGGCTTTCTAAGATCTGTCTCTGAATCTCTAGGAGACATAAGAATGTGCCTTGATATTCTCCAGGAGTGTAGTGCATGGCTCCTATCTCCCCATTGTTTCTGGTCTTGAAATCACTTGAGAAGTTCTCAATTGCCCCCTCAGGGCACAGACTAGTGAACACATTCACTCCATAATGATCTACTCAGGTACAGCCCGGCCCAACCCTCCTTCCCGGCACACGCTGTAATACAGGACTAGTAAACAACAGATCCTGCCAACTCCAGGAGAGCTGGGACCTGCCATTCTACTTCCTGCTGGTCAACAGAGAAGGGCACAGCTGCCAAGAAGGGCAGTATGAAAAGTTTGATTGCATCCCAGCCCCTTAAGCCCTGGTACCAAGCACCCTTGGGCCAAGGGAAGACCGTATGTTTGCCGGCGGGGCGGGAGGTATTGGTTGTTAGCAGGTGTTCTGGAAGGGCCTGAGTCATGTCTCTAAGAGGCCATGAGCAAGGATCGGTAAATAGGGAGATTGGAGAGAAGTGCAGAGTTACTGAGTGGATGACAGAGGCAGAGATCAAAGAAGACAGGCCATGAAGAGGGAGGGAGAGAGACAGAGGAACAAACCCAGAACCACACATACAGAGAAAAGAAAAGAAAAAGGGAAAGGCAGAGGGAAGGGGAAAGAGGAGAGAAGAAGAAAGAGGAGGGGATAAGAGAGAATGATAATTTTAGAAATTTAAAAACCAAAATGGAATAATAAAGTAGGTATGGAAGAAAGAGGAACAAGTAGAGAGACAGGATCACATAAAAACAAAAGGCAGAGAAGGAGGAGTAAGGGAAGAAGATAAACTAAAGGGAAAATGTTGACAGGAGTGGGGGTGGGGGAGAGATTGAGAGACAGAGAGATCCTAGTGAGCTAGTCTCTCTTGAGGAGCCCCCTGCCCCCCTCACCACCCCACCCTAGGAGCTCAGAGAGAGCACAAATTGGAAGAAGAAAAACAATCCAGCTCTCCTGGGTGGAGCTCTGCTCCCCCCTCCCTCAGCCCTCTTACCAATGGTGTGGCCAGGTGCAGTCACTCCGGTCCCAGCCCCATCTGGCGTTGGGTGAAAAGGCTGCTGAACTTTGGTCCGGATGATCCTGCAACAGAATCACAACGGCATCACATACCACATGCACCCTTTGCCCCCACCATCTCTAGCCCAGACCTGCAGAGAAGCTCTCTCCAACTTCTCAGCTCCTTCCTCACCTAACTGTTCCCTGCACCCTGCCCTGGCCGGCCACTGCACCACTGCACGGCTTGAGCTTTCCCTCCTGGTAGCTGCTGTGCGGATCCAGCCTAGTGCAGCTCTGGGGGGAGGCAGTCTGCCTTCTGTGCAGGGGCCACATGTGACTGGTCAAAACTGCAGCTTGATTTTCGGTAGCAGGGATTGAGGCAGCAGGGTAAGTACAGCATACTCACTCAGTGGCTTGTTTTCCATCCTCCCCTCCTTCACCACATGCAAATCTTTTCCTGGGAGCAGGACTCCCTGGGTCTAGAGATCATTTTGGAGCTGGCTTTCCTATTGGGACTGGACCACACGTCTCCAGAGTTGAGGGAGAGGGTGAGATTTCCCCATTTACTGAGCCAAGGAGAAGTAGCCGGGAAGGGGACACAGCACGTGGTAGCCAGGATTCCAACACAGCATGTGGGCCCTTTGCCAGATGTCAGGCCCTAAACAATTTCTTGAGCCCACTTTCTGCTCTCAAACAAGTCAAAGCCCTGTCCCTGTCAAGCTCGCTGGCCCAATGGCCTCCTTTCTTAAGGTCCTCCTTGGATCTCAGCTTCTTTACCGCTCTGCTTGGAAAGCCCAATGCCTCACACTGTGCACTCTGGGGTGAGTCAAACATTCCAGGACTGGGGATGAGCTGGCCTGTCTGTGATCCCAAGGACCTATGTGATACAAAGGCCAGCCCTGGGGCCAGGACGGAGGAACACTCCCTTCCACCCACTGGTCAAACCAGGTGCCCTTGGAAGCAATTTTTCCAGCAGCATTGCTCTTCCCTGCAGAGATGCGTGTGATCCAACTTCACCTCAGCCAGCAGGTAAGTCATCAGCCATGAGTGGACTCTGCTCTAACCAGCTTCTACTGAGCACAGCCAGGCAATAGAATTGAGGCCCCTGCCTCACGATGCTGGATATAAAGTTGGGGAGGAAGACACACACTCAAAGAAAGCTAAGTCACTCCCAGGGGGCCAACCTGTAAGTGCCAGAAGGAGGCAGAGGAGGAATCATCCCACTCGCAGGTGGGGGGATTGGGAGGGAAGTCACTGAGGAGGTGAAGCTTGTAGCTCTTCACAGCAGAGTAGGGCTGACCATATAGATACATACAGGAACCAGAGGCACAGAGGATGGTGGGCTGGGCAGGCTACATGGCAGGGGCCCTGAGTCCTGCTTCTGACTCTGCCATTATGTGGCCACATAGCTTTGGGCTCATCATTCTACTTCTCTGGGGCTGTTTCTTCAGCTCTAAAGAGCTTGGACTACAGGACCCCTAAAGTCTCTTAAAACACGATTCTAAGATGAACGAAGAAGCAGAGGGCAGGGCACTATAAGCAGGTGCTAGAGGAGGGTGGACCAAAGCATGGAAGCCAAATGAGCTTGGTGTTGTAGGGGCCCCTCCCCAGACAGGCTAGCCAGGACAGGGGAGGTACGTAAGAGGAAATAAGGCTGCAAACTCTGAAGTGATGAGAGTTGCGATTTTCCACTTACTGAGCACCTATTATGTGTCTACATTACATGCGATTTATACCACTTATATACACTGCTCTTAATTCTCACAGCCTCCAAAGTATATACCAGTATCCTCATTTTGCAGATCGAGAATCAAAGCTGACAGAGGTTAAGAGCTTACTGGAGATTATATCACCGGTTAGGGTAGAATTAGAATTCAGTCTCAAAAAAATGTATGCTTTTGTTACTTTGTCACACATAGCCCCATATATGGGAAACGGGTTTAGAGGGTCCAAGCCACAAGCGATTTCTAAACTTAGAGGAGCCATGTACAAACTGCTTCTGGTAAAGCAATGCAGAGGCAGGTGGCAGTGAGAGGCTGACCTCAGGACAGAAACACTGCACAAGATGGTGTGAAGGCAGAATGGCCAGGATTTGGCAATTAATTGGAGTCATCCTTGGCTCTGGAACCCCAAGTCTGGTAACTGAAAAGCTGGCGGTTTGTACCACTGTCAGAAAGAGGGATGAGGGGAGGCGACTGTTTTGGAGGGAGGTGGTAATGCTGGTCCTCGACCAACAGTGTCTGAGGTGGTGGAGGAGTGTCCAGGTGGACATGCCCACGCCCCGGCTGACGCAACAGGTGTGGATTTAGGAGACTGTCAAGGAGAGGAGCATTGAAATGTTCAAGAGGCCTGAGGAGTGGATACCACTTTCAGAGATGGAGGGAAAGAACCTGACTTGAGGGGGTTCAGAAATGGCCACACAGGAAATGGCAGGATCAGGGTCTGGCAGTTTCACTTAGCTCAATGGAGAGCTAGAAGGAGAACGTTTCCAGAAGGAGAACATAATCCACAGTGTCAACGATGGCATAAGGATCAGAAGGAATTGGGCATAGGTTTGGGAATTTTGGTGACTTAGTGACCTTGGGGAGAGCAGTGTCAACAAACGGGGAAGAGCCAGACAAAAAGAGGTTAGGAAGCTCATACAAGGAGAGGGAGACAGTGAAAGCAGATGAGTGCCTTCGGAAGTTTGTAGAAAAGGAGCGGAAAGTGTGGAAGCCAGGGGATAGAACCACCAGCTAGGGGGAGGGGGACTTTCTACGGTAGGAGCAACCTGGATGCATCTGTAGGCTGAGGAGGGAGAACCGATGAAGAAGGAGCAACTGAAGTTGGCTGAGAGATTGTGAGTGGTGGTGAGAGGAAGGCGGAATAAGGAGAGAATGGAATGGGAGAGATGGCATATTCTAAGAGAGCCAAACGCTTTGAAAAACAGCTTTTGTAGCTTTTATCTCTTATCAAAGCAGAAGAGAAGGCCATCTCCCAAGAATTGGTAGTTGTAGTGGTGGTGTGGGGGGGCGGTCTTGGGAGCATAATCACGATGGGAAAGACCAGAGTAGCAAAGGGCAGTGTAGACTGGTCTACAGGGAAGGTGCAAAAGGAGGCAGAGCAGTTCAAAGCAGCTGCTTCTAATTCATTGCAGCAAAAGCTTCTGGGATCTCACTGACCTGCCAGTGGCTCTGGCTGGAGCGCTGATGGGCTCTGGACTAAGGAAGCCTCAGAGCTGGGGCTGGATGAGACAGGTAACCGCTGGCCTTGTGGGGTTTCTGTCTTTGTTACCCAGCGCCTCTGACCCCTGAGGCACCGGTGCAGATTTAGCTGAGGCAGCAAGTGATGGAAAATCACTATTCCCTGACAGCGGCCTGGTGGTGCCTGGGAGAGGGGCTGGGCAGGGCGCCTGCTGTGAGTTGCTAATACTCTTGGTGTCCATCCATGTCCCCTGGGCTGTGGGCACTTCCGAGTCCCTGGAGCTGCTCTCAAGGAATTAAAGAACTGGGACTGTGGAATTCTGATTGTCACCCATTGCCCTCTTGCATTTTGTATGCAACGCAACTGGTGGGAATATCATAAGACATTAAAAGGATGAAGACAAGCAGTTGCTTTGGGTGACTGCCTGATACTACTTCTCCTAGTTCCTCCTCCTCCTTCTCCTCCTCCTCCTTCAATTCTCTTTCCTTCTTGGCCCTGTGGAGAGCCAGATACATCTACTGTCTCCACGGTCCCAGGCAGGTCTGACCTGAAAAGTCAAGTCTGGCATAAGGATCTTCGGTGGATGCAGTCGAGAGCCCTGGAGAGTGCATCTTTACTTGAGGCCAGGGAGATGCTATTTCTTGTTTCTGAAAAGACTGCCCTGTCAGGGTGCCTTCTCCCCACTTCTCTTTCCAGCATGCTTTCTTCCACAGAGCTGTGCTTTCTCCCCCAACTTCCCTGGAACCTCCAGGGTTCTGCCTGGGCCCCCCACAGGGACTTCAGGTACTTAGCATCTCCCACTCACAAGAGTATGACTGGGGTGAAGGGAGAAGGGGCTCAGTCCCAGCTCTGTTACTTAGTGCCTGTGAATAACAATGCTCCTCACTTCCTAGGACTGTTGTGAGAATTAAATGATAATCCATGTAAAATGATTAGCATAAACCTTGGCTCAACAAATCCTTGCCATAAAAATAATAATGACTAGAATTATATCTACAGCCCTATTAGCATTGAATGACCTCAGACAGCTCACCTTGACCCCTAGGCCTGGCTGCTCTCTATGTAGGGGCTGAGCCAGGTGCAGGCAGGAGCCTGGCCCATGCCGCTGCTACAGAGACCCTGGGAGGAACGCTGAAAAGGTAGGAAGCAGCAGCAGCAGGTGTCACAGACTGACCCCCCAAAAAAGGTTGCATCAGAGACGACAGACCGGGGACCTCTGCCTGGGGGCACCGGGAAGGCTCTACAGACAGTATGAGCAGCAGCTTCTTCTGGACCCAAGAGAAGCCAGGGGGTGCGGCAAACCTTTGGAGTAAATGGTGACAAGGCAGGTGGAACCACTCCCTCTTGGGCAAATTCCCAGGAGACCTTCACCCCGCACCAGCCTGGAGAGGAAAACAGTCCAGTGGCCCTGTGAGTCAGAATGAGCGCAGGGAGCCAGTCTCCCGGTAACAGTCCGTCAAACTGGTGAAGACACAGAGAAGCCCTCAATGCCCCTAGAATGCACCAGGATCATTCTTCCTCCTCCTCGGGTTCTACACCCTCTTCTTCTTCCTCCTCCTCTCATTCTTTCTTCTGTGTTTCACTCTCTTTTTCTGCCCTTCTCTCTGTCTGTCTGTCTGTCTCCTGGCACCCTGAAGTCCCACTGTGGCTGTGTGAGTTTATTGATTCCTGGGAGCAGGGGGAAAGTGGGAGGCAGGGCTGGGGTGCAGGCTCAGGGATGGAAATAGAAGGCTATAAATTATTTGTGACAGGAAAGCAATAGTGGCAGAGTGCTGAGCACAAGTCCTGTGTCACTATTAGATTCCTTTTAGCCTGATGACACTGTAAAAAAGGTTAAGTGTCTGCTGGAATCGTACACCTGGGGGGCCGGGGCAGCCTGGGAGCAGAACAAGCCACTGAGA